GTTCCCCTTCAGGAAGTGCCACCAGGATAGAAGGGCCCATCGGACTGCATAAGCGTCCTTCTCCCAAACTGCCCACTTTTGCTCTGTTTCTGTGAGTTTCTTTGATGTGTAAGCGCAAGGCTGAAATTTCCCGTTCATCATTCTCTTGTAATAGTATTGCCTCCACAGCCATGTCACTAGCATCAGCCTGAATCATGAAAGGTTTTTTGGTATCAGGGTGCCTTAGAACTGGTTCTGCGGAAAATAGTCTTTTTAACCTTTCAAATGCAATTTGACATTCCACGGTCCATTTCAATGGTCGACTCGGCTTCAGTTTCCCCTCCCCTTTTGTCTTTAACAAGTTAGTAATTGGTAGTGCAATCTGTGCAAAGGAGGCAATGAATAGCCGGTAAAAGTTAGCAAATCCAAGGAAACTTTGCAAAATTGCTTCCTCAGGCAGGGCAGAGCCCATTCTAATACAGCTTGGACTTTCTGAGAGTCCATTTCTATGCCACTCAGTGAGATGCAATACCCCAGGTAGTCGATTTTTTCCTTATGAAATTCACACTTAGACAGTTTAGCAAACAGGTGAGCTGCCTGAAGTTTTTTCAACACAGTTCTGACTAACTTCACATGTTCCTCTTTTGTTTCAGTGAATATTGGGATATTGTCCAGGTAAACAAGCACCCCTTTATACAGCACGTCATTTATTAATTGCATGAATACTCTGGGTGCCCCTTGGAGGCTGAAGGGTAGAACCCTGAATTGGTAACATCTTAAGGGGCAATTGAAAGTGGTTTTCCACTCATCTCCTTCTTTAATTCTAATCCTGTAATACGCCTCCCTCAAGTCCAGTTTCGAAAAGATTTTTCCTTTCAATAGGTGTGCTAGCATGTCTTTCATGAGAGGGAGTACAGGTTACTCTCATTAACTGCATTCAGAGATCTATAGTCCACACAGAGGCAAAGAGTCCCATCTTTCTTTTCTCGAAATAACATGGGGGCTGTGGTCTTGGGTTTTGCTGGCTGGATGAAACCTCTTTCCAGGTTTTTGTCTATGAACTTTTGCATTTCCTCTAGCTCCCACTGGCTCATGGAATACAATTTTGGCTTGGGTAATTTCGCCCCTGGGAGGATCTCAATGGAACAGTCTGTGGGTCAGAGGGGCAGTTCATCAGATTTCTCCTCACTGAATACTTCAGCTAGGTCCCGGTATTCCTCTGGTATGTCTTGTAACTCTCTTCCCCCCACTGCCACTGTACTCTTGGAAGGACTTCCCCCGTTTTTGGGGCTGAGTCGGAGTTCTTACTGCCTCTCCATCTGGGAATCTCAGCTCTCCCATCCTCCAGTCCACCTGCGTGTTCCAGGATAAGGGGGTATTCCATGCCAGGGGTCACTACAAAGATTATAGTTTCTATGTGATCCTCTATGGTGAGTTGGACAGATAATGTGGCAAGAGTAGCCAGTGTCCTCCCTGCAATGGATCCATCTAATTGACCAAATGAGATAGTTTCTTCAGCCTCCTCACCAGAATTCCTAAATTCCCCACGAAAGTTGGGCTTATGAGGCAACGGGTGCAGCCAGAATCTATTAGTGTTCTGAGTGCAACCCTCTCCGGCATTCCAGGGCTAAACAGTTCTACAGTCCTGGTGAGGGGTGCTATGGGTCCACTTACCAGGGATTTGTCCTCCAAGTTGTTGTACCAAAGCAAAGGGGCACCCCAGAGAGCCTTCCCCCTTCCCCCTCAGGAGGATGGCAGAACCCACAGAAAGAAATGTAAAGAAATGAATTAGACACCCCCCCAGAAAGAAATTGCTTCTGACAATTAGACTTGTTTGTCACCATGTCGCTTAGTGGCGACTTTGGATGGTTTACAAACATTGCTAATAAAAAATTGAGGCAATAAATACTCAGTAATAATATATAATTAAAAAAGATGGGTAGAAAGGGAACAGGATGCACATAAGGAGAATGGGGTCTGGTTTAATCTGTCAGCTACCTCCAGCACAATGCACCCCCATTGGGACCCCAAGCCAACTGGCAGAGCCAAATTTTTAGGCCCTTACAAAATGTAAGAGGGTGGGTGCAGATCTCTCCGGAGGGGGCACAATTCATTCCAAAGGACAGGAGTTACAACAGAAAAGGCTCTTCTCCTGAACCCTGCCAGCTTAAATTTCTTGACTGAAAGGATCCGCAGCATGCCCCTTATGCCAGTACTGGCAGGACGGCGCAATGCCATTGGGCTAAGATGGTTCCTCAGATAGGCAGCAGCATCCTTCCACCCCTTCTGGCACTAGCTTTGCATTTATGCAAACTTAACTAAAGAGGGGGGATTTTTTTCCCTTATCTACTTATTGAGCCAATACACAGGTACTACTTTATCTGATGATCAGCCTTTTCACGCTGTCAAATTTATTCATACAATATAATCTTTACTAAATGATATATTACATTAAGGTATTAAATTATAGTGGTGTATTAAATTATGGTAATGATCTAGTAAAGAATCATCTGAACTTTGCACTCTCTGCTGAAGAGGAAACTCACACAATGGACCAATGTAGGACACAAGCTTTAATTTAGGAGCTTTTCTATATTATTCTTTATTGCAGCTAAAGTAAATATAGAGATCTGTAGCAAATACACAAATCAGAATCAGAGGGTCTGAACCATAGCTGAGTTCCTCACAAAAATGATTCAGAAGTCCTTGAGATCTGGTACTTTTGGGCTATTCATCAAGATTCACACATCTTTTTTTCTGGCTTATACTGATTTGGGAAATGAGATGGCTGCTTTAAGAGGCATTTAAAAGTACCCACATGTTTTCTTTTCATGCTCAATATCTTGCAGAAAAAAAAGCTCATACGTTCTATTAAGCACAAAAATCCCAGTCTTGTAACTGACTTTGTCTGATTCTGAAAGATGATGCTATATTGAATCTGATGTGTATCTAGACAGAAAATCGTCAGGAACCAAAAAAACTCCCAGAAAGCAATGGCAACCATTTCCCCTATTATTGCTGAGAAAATAACATGGATATATTCATGCACTCACCATTTGATGGAGCTTAGGATTATATTGCAAACATATTTGTGACACAAATCATTAATTTATCATGATAAATAATTTAACAATCTCAACGCGTTAGATGTTGCTAACAGTTGATAGCTTTCTCTAGGATCCAGTCCGAGTATAGTGCCCAGCTCTCTTCCTCTTCACCTGCGTACAGGGATTTCTCCATCTCTTGCTTCCATTCTGGTTGGTTGCCCCCCCCCCGTCTCAGGGTCACCTTTCTTGATTTCTTTTCCCATTCCCCTTTCTTTCCAACGCCCATTGACCACCGAGGTTTGTGGTTACGTGTCTCCACCACCTCTTCTCCTAAGGAATCTGACCTCTCAGATCCCGACATCTGGCAGGGTGTCAGTCGGGGCAGCGGCTCCTTTTCCAGGGAGATTTCTCCCTTCCCTGCTCCATCGTCTGACATCGTAATTTTTGCAAAGTCCCCCAGCAAGGTTCTCCCTTCAAAGTGGACTAATTTTTCAGGTCCTGTAAGGACCCACCCCACTTTACATCTTAAGAAGACAAAACTCTTGGAATATCTCTTCCAACAGGCATCTTTATTAAGAGAAGATGGTTGCAGGAATTCTAAACAGGACCTGAGGGACCAACTCCTACCATTCAAGGTTTTAAGTGTTCCCAAGTAGCCCCCATAGTAGATGAAAGCTGATGGCCATATTGTTATGGTCAGTCCTCTTGGTGAGATCCACATTCAGTTTCTTTGAAGTTTTAATGAAGGAAGTGAGAGCCATAAAACCCCTTTGCTCATCCCCCTTCCCCTTCGTAGTATGACAGAATCCAGAGAGGGCAGAAATGGGGTTTTCCATAGTCAATAACTAGAAATGAAATATAATTGGATTCTGACAGATGTTCAGTTTTCGGTATAAGAAGAAATTCTAATTAAAATAGAAATTATATTTTATCTGATATGCATCAATACCAAATAGGTATCACATCAATAATATATAAATCCATTTCTTGAAATCTTTTGATTGAATGATTGCTTGGACTAAACCTAACCTCCCTTCCTCTCTAAGTTATAAATACATGTTGTATGCTTTGCAATGAAATTTTCCAGTCTTAAAATGAAGCTGCTTATGCCTGCTAAGGTTTTCTGTAATGTTTAAGATACTTTTGAAATGATGGGTTATTTGGGTCTTTGATTTATATTGACAAGCAATGAACAAATCCAGAATAATTAACTCAGTTTGGGCTTGCCATGAGTCCATGGAGCTGTATGGGGAACATTTTCATCACATGCATCATCCATATCTGTTCTGGCCTATTGCATTCCATGACCAAAGCAACCCAGAAAAGATTCAGAGAAGGACAAAAAGGGTGATCAAGGGTTAGGAACTAAATCCTAGGATCAACAGTTAAGCTACAGTGAGAGTTCAGACTTAAGGAAGATAAAAATGACCATGCTCTTCACATACCAGAAAGGGTATTAAACAAAGAACATGGCTTGGCCATTTTCTATCTTCCCAGAAGGCAGGCAACAGAATAAAATATCTGAGGAGCTGTCACAGAGAAGGGGGGGGGGTCAACCTATTCTTGAAGGCACTTGATGGCAGGACAAGCAGCAATGGATGGAAACTTAACAAAGAGAGATCCAATCTAGAACTAAGGAGAAATTGCCTGACAGTGAGAACAATTAATCGGTGAAATGGCTTGCCTCCAGAAATTGTGGATGCTTCAACACGGGAAGTCTTTAAGAAGAGATTGGACAATCATTTGTCTGAAAAGGTATAGGGTCTCCTGCTTGACCAAAGGGTTAGACCAGAAGATCTCCAAAGTCCCTTCCAGCCTTGTTATTCTATATTCTATGAAGTGACATTCAGCTGAATATTAGGAAAATTGTCTTGTCAGAAATAACAATTTATTGCAATCACTATAAGACACGGGTCTCAAACTCACCACATCACGTGACATATCGAGACTTTTTTTGCATTGCCAGAGCTGGGGTGGGCACGACCTTTGTATGATGCAACTGGCCTGTGGGCTGGCAGTTTGACACCCCTGCTATAAGACGAATGTAGTGTTTGGCAACTGAGCACATGTTCAAATTCTCACTCAGCTGCAACTTTTGTGAGCAGACTAATCAACCTCCATAGCAGACTTTGCTGTGAAACTGAATTTATAAAAGCAAGGTAGAGAGAAAAAGTACATAGAATTTCATTTGTTCTCAAGTAGTATTCAAAAATGCCAGTTCTACCTTTTCAAGTACTTATACAAATATAACTAGTACTAGGCAATAGATGCTCTGAAATAGTAGTATTATTATTACATTTTCATTTAATAAGAGAATATATAAAAATACATCATATCCCCAAACAATTATTTTTAATGTCACAAATCAATGCTATAAAATGCTTCAAAAGATAATGTTTCCTCTGGCTTTGTCTCCCGCTGACCTCACAGATATGTCTACAGGGGTTTTGGACAGTTACCGCAATTAGTTTGTAAATGCCTTCTTTCAGGCTGTTATGGACTTCCTAGTCTAGCCTACAATTTCAAGAATCCTTGGGTGTTTCCTACTCAAATATTAACCAAGCTTAGCTTTTAAACCCAAAGTAGCTCAACTAGGTGCTGCCACCTGCTGTGACAAAATATTTAAAGATATTTCTTTATTTGTTCTACAAATATGCAGATCATTAAAATGCTGTTTTGCTATGTAAATTTAATGGTTCACTACTTTGTATTTCCTTCTTAAGGAACTCTAACAATAATATAAAATGCAGTCTGGATGCAAACAGATATCTTCTATATTCCATGATTTCATGGATATATTCTATCTTACAATTTCTAAAATATATTTTAACATATTTTCTAATACAGACATGCTTCCCTTTTCATCAGAAAGCAACTGTATCTTCTCCACCATTGTTAATGGTAAATTTTATTAAATTTATATGCCATCCATTTTCGAAAGTGACTCTAATACTAGCCAATCTCCCCCCCCCAATCCTAAGAATATTTACCACCTGAGGGCCATTCATGTCCTCTGTAACTCTGAGACAATTCCTAGAATTGCTCAATGCTAATATCACTCTAAATTATAGTTAAACAAACACAGTTTATCTGCTGGTCTGCTCAATAAACACTCCTTCTTCTAATCCATCTAACCCATCCTCACACTTTCAAAAGCAAGCAGCATTTTCTACTACAGAATGAGCATTTGAAGTATTTTAATCTGGAGGTTTCCTATATGCGCTTTCATCAACAGCCATTAATAATCTTCCTTCATATTTTTATTAGTTTAAACCCATTTTCATATTTTAAATAGCAGCAAATTCCATAAATCTATTATGAATTTACTTTTTAATACATTACTTATTTTTCTTTATTTGTTGGTTCTTTATTTTCCTTGAGGAAAGTACTCCTTAAATTAGCCTTTTCTTATCTCTTTCCAACTTTATGGAGTCATTTTGGAGGTAGAGCAATAGCAGCAGCATGTTTATAGTTGACAATTAAGCTGTACCCAAGATATAGTCCAACATAAAACAATACTGGAAGTTTTCATGACCTTTCCAAATAATCAATAGGATGGAACCTGTTTTCCATAGCTCTGCACTGTGAGTGTACTGCAACACGCAATACTTCTTCAGAACCTCACAACTCTGAAATTTTCCAACACCATATGTATTTTAATTTTACAATGGTCTTTTAGACAGATTATCTTTCTATCTCAATTTTTCTTTCTTTTTCATCCATACAGACAGACATGTACAGTCCTACCTGTAATTTTATCTCGAACCAGTTTGCATGATTCAATCTCTCCAATGCTTCCAAAGAGGCTCTTGAATTCCTCTTGTGTCATGTTCTGGGGCAAGTAGTTGACTATGAGGTTAGTTTTGGAATCATCGGTGGCCCCATTGGCACTGATCAGTGGCCCATTGGGGAGGGAACTGTTGCTTGTGGGGCCGTTGGACACCTGGGTCTCCATTGTGCTGATTATCTGCTGAAAACAAGAGGGAGGAGGGAAAGGTGTTACGGTTATGAAAGATGGGAGGCAAACCCAGCAGCTTGTATGACATTGCTTATTTGCAACCTAAGAGCTGTTGGAATGGGACAGGCTTATATTTGTTTGAGAATTATGGTTTCAAAGAGGTTACGTCAATGTAGTATATAAAAAGATTTCTTCTGTGAGTGACCATGATACAGACCTCTCGTGTAGATTTTATGCAATGATGAAACAGAAACAAATGGAGAAGAGAGAGAGAAATGAAGTGCCAGAAATCATATGATGGTCCCACTTTGTTCACACTAGTCTACTATTTCTATGTGATGGAGCTCCCAAAAAATTACTCCTACAAGAACACTGTGCTCAAGCAGAATAAATATTGCCCTCCGCTGAACAAACTTACCTAAACTCAGAGTCTAAGAAAGAGCATTGCTAATATTTGGGTGGTGGATTGACGAAGAAAATCAGTAGGATAGATGAAGAAAAGTTGGAAAAACATCCCCATACCACCTTTGCAGTTTTGCCAAAAAGCGGTATGTGGATATATGCATGAAATCACCAGGACTTGTATTTGATCTGAAGATTTTAAACTACTTTCATTTATTTTGTCACCATACTTTTCCATGCATAAAAAAATTCCTTAAGCATATATTACTTCAAATGCCTGTTTACCATTTATTTATAGTGCATGTGGTGGGAGGGTGCGGGAAATTCAGAACCTCCCAATAAGTTGGAATCAGAATCAGAATAGAGCTAGAAGGGACTCTGGAGGTCTTCTAGTCCAGCCCCCTGCTCAAGCAGGAGATCCTATACTATTTCAGACAAATGGGTGTCCAGTCTCTTCTTAAAAACCTTCAGTGATGATGCACCCACAATGTCTGAAGGCAAATTATTCCACTGGTTAATTGTTCTCACTGTTAGGAAATTTCTCCTTAATTTCAGGTTACTTCTCTCTTTGATTAGTTTCCATCCATTGTTTCTTGTCCTGCCCTCTGGTGCTTTGGAAAATAAATTGACCCCCTCCTCTTTGTGGCAGCCTCTCAAATACTGAAATACTGCTATCATGTCCCCCTCTCGTCCTTTTTTTCTCGAGACTAGTCAAACCCAAATCCTGTAACTGTTCATGTTTTAGTCTCCAGGCCTTTAATCATCTTAGTTGCTCTTCTTTGTACTTTTTCCAAAGTCTCAACATCTTTTTTGTAATGTGAGGACCAGAATTTTACCTAATGTGTACTTGCACCTTTTTTCCTGCCCAGGTGTAAAACCTTGCTTTTCTCCAAATTTCATTTTGTTGGATAAGGCCCATTTTTCAAGTCTGCCAAGATCTTTTTGGATCCTGAGCTTGTCTTCTGGGGCGTTGGCTATTCCTGCCAGCTTAGTATCATTTGCAATTACTGATCAGTGCTTCTCTAGGCAACACAACCCCCCCCCCCTTACAATGGTTCTAATCCATTTCATTCCATGGACATTTATTAGTGATTGACAAAAAGCCTCTGTACCAACCTTCCATTTTTCTATGCTTTCCTGCAGGCTGCCCTTCAGTAAGGAGAATGCTGATTCCCTCTTAAACTATTGATCAGGCACATTGATTCTGCCATTACACTCCAGCCTCAGGCCAGGAGTGAATATCACCAAAGAAAAATGCATCACTAATTTGCTGGGCCTGCCAATAATCTCCTTACAAAGATGGTTGAGGATAAGGCATTCTTTTTTCACTATATGGTATTTACTAGGCTTTGGAAATTTAAATTTGTACATAAAGATAATTTTTATTTGGTTGAGTGAGGTTCCATATTTATCCTCTACTTCACAGAAATAAATAAATAATGTTTCTAAAAACCATCATTCAAGAGCCATATTACATTCTAACATAAAGACTAACCAAGATTATGTCACCCCAAAATACCAGAATGCTGCAACATGACCTAGTTGTTGCAACTTGCCAATACTTAATTTGCAAAAAGTGGCATGTTTGGGTCACATGTTGAAAACCTTAGGAATTCAGGTAAAAATATAATCTGTAAAGTGATCTAAATACAAAAGGTAGCTATGAAATAACTAAAAAGAGATGACCAGTTTGGGCAACAGTCAAGATAGGCAATTTCAGAACAAAGCAGGGAACAGGGGAGCAGATACAGATCAATATTAAGTCTGCAATTCTATTCACATTTATTCAGAGGCTCTGACGATGATTTGTGAAATGTCTAATTTTATGCTGAACACCTATTATGTTGCAAAGATTATTAACAAATTTCATGGGCATATGTTAAGCCTACTGACAGGAGCAGTTTCATACACCCTCTAATTTATATACACAATTTGTACATTATAGTTGCAATCGCTGTACCAAGTCCATGTGAACTTTGGTTATATACAGTCTCCAGGCAAGCCTCCCCAAACCAAGATACAAAATCATGTTATCAGAAGCATTACAATATATCCTGTCAATTTATTGCCATGCCACTTTTTAATCTGTTAAAAAAATACAATTTAAAATGTTTTAGTTTTCCAGGACTGTTGTGTGACTTATATTTCAAGTTGGTTTCCTACTCCCAAACTGCCATTCTCTTGAAGTTGGCATAAACATCAGTAAGAACACCAGCTGTAGTGCTTATTTTTTAAAAAAACAATCTCCTTGATTTACTGATGTTTTGTTAACTTCTTTTATTAACTTTAACAAATTTAGAATGTCTTAATAGACTGGCAAATTTGTTTTCTCATATTTAATAAATTTATTATATTAGCCAAATTTTATTTTATAAGCAACAGTCAGTAAAATAATAGTTAATTAAGCACAGAAGCTTTAGATCCTCAAGCACACATGGGAAGCTTACCAAAAACAAGAAGCAAATGCTCAGCCACTGCCTCTGAAGAAAAGCAAGGTTGGGCTGAACAGCATCACCCCACTGCCTGCTATTTTGTAATGGTTCTCTGATTATTTTGTTTAAAGTACTTGTAAGACAACTTCAGTTCATCCTGCAGCCCAAAAGGTCTACCAGACAATGGTTCTATTATGTTAGCTAACCACCCTCTGGTGATAAAAAGTCTTCTGCATTGGTGATTTCTTGCTGGGTTGATAACTAAAGGAATTTAAATTCTCAGGCTAGAGACCATCCTGGCTCAAACATCAAACAACCCACTAACCATGGTTGAAAATGACCAGAATGAACCTCAGAGAACTTGGGTTTCCCTAATTAGACCCCTCCCTTTTACAAGGACCTTTTTATGTGAAAGATGAACAGAGGCTGAGATGAAGAATGCTACTACAAATAACATTAGCAATAGCTTGCTAAATAAGCAGTAATTTAAACACTGGGAGCCCTTGCTTCTGAATTTTCTGCAACCATACCGGTGACAGAAAATGAAGGGCAGCTCTGAAACCCAAAGCAAGTCAAGACTCAGTTGTTCTTGTGGCAAATTCCTTAGAGAATCAATGCTAAATTGCCTTCCTTTCTAGTCTCTTGAAAAGGCTCCTCAGTTACAGACTGGAGCCCTTGAAGGAAAAGCTACATCCATTCTGAAATGCCCTTTTGATTTTTAAAATAATTGATTTTCAACTTGGCATTCAAGGAACTGCCAATCTTCTCAGTCTCCTTAAAAGCCGCTAACTGAATCGCATTCTCATGTCAGCACTCTTTTAACCAGATCTTAGCCAGTTAAGTCCAGGAACTGTGTAGAACCAAAATTAGCTCAAGCTTTTTTGGTTTTTCTAGATACGATGTGCCAAGGAAGAAACTTGGTTTCTTGTTATCAAGTAAATTAAAAGTGGCAGACTAAGAAGAATTGGGTTTACAATGCCAGCTTTTAAAGAGCACTCCAAGTAAAGACTCCCATTTTAGACAAAATTGTTAAGCGATTTCTGGCTTATTTATCCACTTCAGATGGTAGAAAGAAACTGAACAGAGTGCATGTGCTGGGACACAATACAGAAAACCCAAATGCTCAGAATCTTGTCTCACGCTGTTCCATATGAATAGGTTCAGCATGATTGACTTCATGGCCACGGCATCTAGACAACCTTGGCTAAACTTAAGCAAGGCAAAAACTTAATTATTGCTTAAATGGAGGGCACCAAGTCACTCCCAGACTATAGGCTAGACTGGCAAATTAGAAAAAACATCCTGCAAGCAATGCAAATGGTTTCATATTGCTGCCCCTAAAATTACATGTGAACATGCCTGAGTAGTCACTATGACTCAAGACTGACTTGGAGTCTTTCTCCTAAGTGTTTTAGAATACAGGGTTAGTTATAATCAGTAATTAAATGGTAGATTATCTTAGTCAAGATCACATTGCACATCTACTTAAATAAGACTTATTTTCAAGTTCTATAATTTCTGCCAGTCTATGCTGCACCAACTAACATATATCAGAATCTAAACTTTTCCAGGTCTCACTGAACACAACAGAATGCCAACTGCTCCTCAACAGAGACAAGTACTCTGTGCCTTTTCTGTGTTCTGCCCCTGCCTTACAGAATACTTTGTCCCCCTCCCCGGAAGTTCAGCAGGCCTCCACCCTGTGAGCCTTCCATAAGGTGTTGAAGATCTGGGTTTCCCCCCCCCCCTCCAAGCACTGGGAGATAATTAGCTGATAGCATGTTAACACAGATTGGTACTGGATTTTTTTGTTTTAATGTTTTATGTTTTAACTAGTCAAGTGTTAGTTTTTAAAATACTTTAATATGCCTTTTCATTTTTGCTTGGGAGGTGCCCAGAGTTGATTGAAAGATGGACAGATATATAAATGTTTTAAATCAATCAATCAATAAAATTAAGTAATTTAATACAATAAATTTCATAATCAGACAATGGCAAAGATTGTAAAGTCTAATCTGTATTTAATATGTGAGAGCAATAGGAAGATAAAAGGTAAAATGGAAAGAGAATGGAGTTGAGCGTAGCAACTTCCTTGAAAACTTTGCAAATTCAGTTGCAACCTATTTGAACCAACAAACATAGGGGTGAAAGTACTATATACCAATAGTACATCCGTCT